GAGAGAGAGAGAGAGAGAGAGAGAGAGCGAGAGAGAAAGAGAGAGAGAGAGAGAGCGGGAGAAAAAGAGGTCACTTTCGTTTGTAAAACCATCACAATTCGCTCGAGATTAAATGCAATTAGATAATGGTAGCCATAAAGGATGTTCATACTATTTGCACCAGTGGGATGGGGTTATCTAACTCTAAGAATATTCCACATTACAACAAACAATAGTAAAGTGTAATTTGTAATCTAGCAATAATGTAAAAAAAATTTCCACACTCGGGCTACTGGCGATATATCTGCGCATGCTCACCAGCTCCAGATCATTGATGATTGGCTCAAAGCCGGTGAAGATTCCGATGTCCAGTATGGTCATGCCTGCAGGAGTGTCCTTAAGATACCTGTCACGGCAACGACACTGTGACAACCCACGCCAATCACAGCGACACAGACACAGCGACGTATATACTAGCGCATGATCCAGACGTTCTAACGCTACCCGGTAAAACCCGTTATCAGATAGACCCAGGTGCCTACCCACGTAGCCAAACACCCCGACAAGCAGGTGCCCATGTAGTTATGTATCGAGGTAACAAGGTACCTAACCAAGTAACCAGATACCAACCACATACGCAGTTAACATGATATCTATCTCTGGTATAACCATAGTTTAGCAGCGCAAGAGTAGTAAGTAATTTCAGCCTGAAAGCGACCACGAAATCGCAACACATAATTATTAACCCGTAATAAAGCACCATGCATCAAAACAGTGACCTGTTATCGAGATTTAATTAAGTAATTAGTAAGTTCAGTAACTTAGTAATTTTCCGACATTGATTAAACTAGTTTACTTCCGCCGCTGCGCTCACATTGACCTCGTGACGTAAGTTCTGGGTTACCTGACGCAGGTCTCGATCTCCAGGATGTAGACGCTTCCGGAGCGCGTTGCCACGGGAACGTCGTAGTCGAAGCGGGAGCGGGTTGCTTCCCGCGGGAAGCGGGAGCGCGATCCCGTCGCCGAGCGGCCGTTGGGCTTCGTCTGGATGCGGGCGTAGGCGGAGGAGAACTTCCGATTCCGGCCGCCGTCGCGCGTATAGTCTGACGTCGACAGGAACTTGTTAGCGTCGATTGTGAGAGCAAGTCACGTACGTATGCATGAACGCACGCTCGCACGCACGCATGTACACACATACACGCACACGCATGTACACACACGCACACACACACACACGCACACACACA